TTCTGGAGGGAGCACACTAGCTGCCCTCAAGTCTAAGGACAGGCAGGCAATGCCATTGCCAGTCCTTACTTCGACGCCTTCCCCCGGTGAGAAGGGGCGACACTCTCGCCCCAACTCACTGGAGAGGGCCTCCTCCAAAGAGCGGCACAACTCCCGTGCTGCTCCCCTAGTACCCAAGGGGTCGGTGCAGGCAGAGTGTAAAGACGCTCTGCCCAGCACCTCCGCTGCCTCCTCGGCTGGTCGCGGCCGGGGCCTGGCTCCCCGTGATCCGAGTCGAAAGAAAACGCTGGCTAAGGGGCGGGGGGAAACGCTGGCTGGCGGGGGGGGGGGGGGGGGGGGGGGGGGTTAGAAATTTGTGAAGCCGGAAACTAAAGCCGCCGGGTAACTCGATGCTGATTCGCTGAGCCAGGTGATGACGTCACAGCCCCTCGCTGGACGCTGATTCGCTGATCCAGGTTCTGGAAGAGCGACAGGGGTTTAAAACCGGGTTTAGCGCCGGTATCTCCATTCCAGGAATTTCTATCGGGTGTGCATACCACACGTTAATCGCTAAACTAACCAAGGAAGAGCTTCGAGAGCGTAAACGTCAATCCCTGAGGTATCAGACTGAAACCACACTTTTCACGTGCAACACAATTGCCCAGAAATTTGCCATGCATTTTTTTCTAAGCGTTTTAAGTCAGGGGCGACGCATTTTAACAACACGGAGTAGACGCAAACTGCCTTGGCAATATAGTCCAAATGTACAAAACGAACGAAAGAGGAGTTTGGGTGCTATTTTTGTCGAACGCGCGTGGCGTAAACCCTCAGCTTTGATAACTCTGAGGCGTTCCGCGGAAGAACGCATAACAATAAGCACTATACTTTGACGAGTGACGAAGGTATATGGTGCAAATATTTTGTTATCTTGTTATGTTGGTCTTCGACAGCGCTTTTCTGACATGTAAAACACTCGTCGAAACATTCCCCATAAAATACCCTGCTCCCTTGATCCTTCTTGTAATCATATAACACTCGTTATCGCCCGCAAGTTTGAAACTGCTTTCAGGTTCCCATCAAAGCACTGAAGGCACTATTGGTGATTCATCTTGATAAACAAACAAAAGAATGGCGTAGTTATCTGCTCGGTTTCTCTCCTGTCGCGTGTGACCATGGTTATATATTGCCACAGTCACGTGCCATAGCGCGACGATACAAGAGTTATATAGATATATATAACTCGTATCTTCGCGCGAGTATAATTCGAGACACTATTGCGACGATCCTGCAGCCTTCGAGAAAGAGCTTATCTTGCTCTTCCTTTGTTCAGCCCTTTGACGAATGTAACAACATGACGTACCCTGGACATCCGCTTGTTCCATATAAAATTAGCTCAGTGCACCCAGAAGAGTAACAAAGCTTACGTGGAAGTGCTCCTACTACCTATTGTGACATATCTAAAAAGTTGAGGACCCAATGCCAATTCTTTGAATTCTTTCCTACTGTCTTTCCAACTGTCTGGTCGTTTTGATAGAAAATATTCGAGAAAAAAAATACTAGGAAACAAAAAAAAAAATTACTACCTTGATTAGTGTATTTTTAAAATTTTTGTCGGCATGTGAATCCTGTGGTTGGGGAGGGGGCGGGGCAGTACTCACCTCGAAGGTTTCATAAAGAAGAGGCCAGCACGCAACCTTCCACGGTGTTTCGCGACAAACATTTTACGTAGGAAGCTTCAATGGCCGTCGGTGCAGAAAGAGAAAGGAGTACATGCACGGTCACACAGTGCTCCTCTTTTGGGGGAATTTGTGGAGAGAGGGACAGGAACAATTCGTCTTTATAGCAACAAAGCACGAAACAGCCGGAAAATAACTCTATAGTTATATAACTTTATTTATCTCCGAGTTGTGGTAACAGGAACAGACAAGTTGGAGCAATAGAAGTGGCAAAATAGTTGTGGGAAGACGCTAGCACCATATCTTCTATTATTTCTCAAAACACTGAATGTAAAAACCATCGCCCAGCGCCTGAAAGCAGCCAGTTCCGATCGAAATGATGTTGGGTATACAGTTAACCTACCCTAAATTGTGTTCGGAGACACGAAAAATCTAGTACATGAAGAGCAAAATAAATAAAAAAAAAAGACGATGCTCAAATACTTGGATGAAGCCAGGTTTAACAGTAGCATTTTATATAAAGCTCTCACGTAGTATACATATCTATGCCAGCAGTAATAAAGAATTTTCGTCCACATCGGAAACACCGGTAAATACAAAAAAATGGCAATAAAGGGGCCACTTAAGAAATACCTTAGCAATTCCAACTGCACGCACAGTATATGCAGAAAAAAAATGCGGGATAAGTTACTCTATCTGGTGTCACGAAGGTACTTTTTGGGGTCGCTAGATCCATAAAGAATTATAAAGGCCGTAAAGTGAAAAGTGTAGCAAGCTAGTTAAATCTAACACTGACTGATTTCAGAAAGAGTTCACTCGTTGCTGTTTTGAATGTATTCTAAGCAAATTTCTGATTGTGCGGTCTAAAGGTATCAATACTTATACTATGGTACGAGGACAGAAGTCTTTACGAGGATAACATTATGTAGAGAATCTACAGATAGGCACTCTCGTTGTGCACACTAACAGCGACGTATGCAGTTCTTGAAGGATCACCAACATTGTGTGTATTTGGGTGAAAAATCTTGGCGAGTGTAATTCCTCAAAGGAAAAGGCGATGACTGTGACGACAAATATCGACACGAAATTGTGACATGAGCGTCATGAGCGTGGCGGAAGAAAAAGAATATAACATTTTAATACTGATGATCAGCTTACCACATTTTGATGGAGGCGGGTACGCCATGCTTCCTTTTTACAAAACAGGCTGAGCGCACTGATTGATTCTCTAGAAATGAAAGGTTTGACTTCGAAATTGCACATGATTGTTTTGATGTTGAATTCTTTAGAGGACTCTGGCTTTCACGTGATAGGTGAGCAATATTAATCGCCAGTGGCGTAGCCCGTGGGGAATTTAGCCATGCCCCCCCCCCCCCCCCCCCCCCCCCGAAATACAGTCGACCCTATGCTATAATTAGGGTTCCGCGTTTTCGGTTTTTATTTTTTCAAAATTCGGCGTACTTTTTTCGGTGTTTATTTTAAAATTAAATTTTCGGTTTTTTTCGGTGTATATTTATGCCCAAAACAAGTTTACCGTTTTTTTTCGGTGAATATGAAAGAAACACCATCGGGCATCGGATCTGATGAACCTTGTAGCTGTGATGTTTGTGATCACTCAAAGCGGCACATATACGTGCGTGGTCTTCGCTACAACTTCCGTCAGGACACACCTCAAAATCGCGGAATTCGCGGGCATAACTTCTTCAGCGCGCTTCTTTTTCCTTCCTATTCTGATGACGTGACCGTGTGAGGTGATGACCGTACAGGAACCAGCGGAATGGCAACAAAAATATCCATTGTATTTATGTTCTCAATTAGAGGTCAGTTTGAGAGAGGGTGTTAAGAAAGGTCTTAATTGACGGCTTTCCTCGTTGCCCTCTGAAGTGCCAGGAAGCGAAAAACCTTACACTAGCCGATATCCGAACTTTTTTTTTTTTTAGGACCAGAAATTTGACACATTAAGCCCGATCACAGAAAGGACACAGATGTCCCGCAAAGGCCAATCCAAGACATCTTTTGTTGCATGTTAAAATAAAGCTCGGAAGAGGGCAATCACGAAGACGTCACACAAATGTCGAACCTTGCCAAAGCCCTCTCTTTCTCCACCCTCCCCCTCCCCCACCCACCTCGACACGGCCCTAAAAACGGTTAAAATCAAATTTTAGAAAACGAATCAGACGTATTTTATCGGTTTTTATCGGTTTAAACCGAAAACGCGGAACCTTCAAACTGACCTTTTTCGGTTAAAACCGATTTTCCGAAAATGGATTCGGCGTACTTTTATCGGTTTTTATCGGTTTAAACCGAAAAGTCCGAACCCTAGCTATAATATACATATTGATTTCTACCCCCCTTCCCGAAAAAACTTTCCGGCTGTATAAGCAACTTTTAATAGCATACCTGAAAAGGAAATCCCTCGTTGCCTTTTCTACAAGAAAACCTGCAGTTTTATAAAAAAAACTGCCCGTAATAAGGCAAGGTCTAGCTGAACTGCGATGTCATTATATGAAAAAAAGAGACGTAGCTGTAGTTACGCTTACTGTATAACGACCACCTATTTAAAGAAACTGGAGTGAATTTTGATATTTCAGACGACAGATACTTGGCATCTTTACAAAGCTGCTTTAAGCGTCCGAGCGGAGTTCACGGCGTCGAAAACCAGAAGCGGTTCAAAACATTGGATTTTAGATATTGGTTCGAGGGTGGGAGGGAGGATAGATTAGGCAGCAGGAGCGACCATGAAAGTCGCGCCGGACGGCGTCCAGGAGATTATGTCGCGGCCGTCGCCGTCGTATCACATGGTGTCGCCTAAACCAAAAGACCTCAACGCGAGGGGTAACATTCTTCTCTGAAGAGAGATGACAGAAATAATTTGGGAGGTGTGGCTGGAGTACATCGATGAAATCAAATGGCCACTTGGTGTGAACAAGACTGTTCCCGCATTCTTCAAATGTATATAATTAAAAAAAAAGAGCCAGGAGCTTTTGAAGGAAGCGACCGCCCCCTTCGCTCCCCCCCCCCTTCCCCCTCCCCCCCTCCCCCCCCCCCCCGTCCCACCACTTACGACCGCCACTGTCGAAATAAATAAAATAGGCTAATGAGCACATACTTCCGGTGGACCCGCCTCATAAAATGGAAAGTTGATGAGAATTGCCTGGAATACAGCGTCAAAATGTGAGAACTACGGAAAGAATATAGCTGGACCTAATTCTATCTAACGTACAAGCACTATTCTGCAGCTTCGAAGTGTTGTTTGATAATCAATCGACGATGTCGCCAGAGCAGCAGTCTTTCTGTTGTGTATACGTGAGGAGAAGAACGATGGAAAATTTTTAATTCTTTGATATACGCTCAATGCAAAAACATACTTTGAATTTGATTTAAGTATTCATCTTTGGTGCGTGGAGTTATGTATGGACGGTTCTCTGGAAGGCAGCGGAAGTTCTACGGGTGATTATCTGAGTTCGAGTCCCTGGAAGACACAGACTGACCTCCTTAGTTATGTTAGGGACCATCAATTCTACTTGCTAGTGAAGAGAGCTAAGAGACGCTCCTCTTCGTAACAGCTATCTTGGACGTCACTACACTGAGATCACTGAAAACGACCCGTATGACTAGATGAATCGATGGCTACGAGGCAGCTAGACAGCGCCAAAGCAGACTATGCTGAGAAGGCACGTGATCGCAACAGAGCTGAAGGACTGCCAGCATTCCGGAGCGGATGCTGCTGAAGATGGCGGCTGCCGCGGCTGTGGCAGAGTAGCGACGGTGTTCTCGCCTCCGCTTGTCCCCGACGTCCCGCTGCGCGGCTGATGCTGCTGCTGCTGCTGCTGGGGCTGAAGATTCGGTCCTCCTCGGTCTAAGGTGCTGCTGGCGGTAGGCGGCTGACGTCAGGGCTTGCGCTTCTCTCCACAGGACGGGTTCCGTCGACAGCAGTAGGTGCACTGCTCTCTGAGCATGCCGAAGCCCTTCTCGAAGCAATTCGGAGAGCATTTGTCGACACACCGTCGCGAGAAGGTCACCAGGACCCCGTTCAGGCGAGTGACCTCAACCTGCGTGGAAAAGAATACGGAGATGCTACTGCGGAGGAAGTCGCGGCTATTCACTCAACAGAGGGGGGAGCAGCCGCGAAATACCTCACGGCTGTGACAAGAATATATAATGATGGGAATAAGTCGTTCCCATATTTACAGAACATGAAGTATAAACAACGCACTAAAGGCTGGTTCACACACTTGCGACCGACTCCGACTGACTCATACTTGGGTAGTAATTCAATTACTGTAAATGAATTACTGTAATTTAATTACTTTTCTTGGTAATTTGTCATTGTAATTAATTACTTCTGGCTAAAAGGAATTGTAATTGTGATTTAATTACTTTCTAGCGTCGGTAATTGCAAAATTTTAGATACAATTACAATTAGTTTTGCAAAACTTTGCGGCGCCGACAGAACCTCTCTGAAAGCCTCAGCGCTCGCACAAGCGGCCTAACTCTCCGTGAAACACTCACACACACGGACAAACTCACACACAAGCGCAACATAAATATCGCGGCATTGTTTGTTGTTTTATGGCTTACACTGCGGGCTGAGAGACAATTCTTTTTGGAGCTTACCTCAACGACGCCGTGTAGCGCCGTCTGCGGCGCGAGAAGATAACAATACCGTATACATGCCCAAATATTGAAAAAAAGAAAGAAAGAAATTGAGCTTTAGCTTTCAGCCGAACTTGGGAATTTTAATTGTCTATGAAGTTATTTTTTTTTTGCCAGTTTTGTTTACGTCCCTCTTCCAGTACTGTCGCATATGTGTTTCTTTGTATTATTTTCAAGTTTATTTCCTGCTGGTCTTACTTCGGATATTATTTGCATGAGCATTTTGGAGACTGACCTCGTGCCTGTGAATATTGCCACCAATGATTCGCGAGCCCCGATTCGGTACTTCTATATTTCTGAGCCATTATAATTTCAACTCAATGCAAAAAAATTACCATACCATTATGTTTGTATGTGAATGTGGTCATATTAGCGCGCGTGGAGTTTACTTTTATATTAACCCTCGTAAAATGTTCCTATATGACTAGTTGTAACAATTTTATTTGCCTGACTAAGTAAAGTCTGTCAACCCAATTTTTTTCTTTCGTGATCTGGCTGGCTTCTTGCAGCATATCATTTAATTTATTATTGTTTATTGAAAATATAAGAACAGTACTTCATTTCCCCATACCGTGAAGTCCTATCATGGATTTAACAAAATTCACAAAAAGAAAGTACAATACGTGAACAGTGGAATAATTAAACATATAGTTTACATTCTATACAACTCGTTTAAAGCCATATGGCCCAAGTCGGGTCACTCTCAGAAACAAGTAATTGTAACGTAATTTCATTACTTTTTAAAAGTAATTAGTAATTGTAATTAATTACTTTTCACATAGTAGTAATTGTACTTAAACTACTTTTGTACCAGAGTAATTGTAATTGTAATTAAATTACTTTTTGGAAGTAATTTACCCATGTAGTCTCCGACACAACTGGCTTTTGAGCCGCTTACTGCAGCCATCGCTGATGCTGCGCAGCCCGTCGTGACCAGTCACAAGCGGCTTAAAAACAGGTTGTCTCGAAGTCGATCGCAGGAGTCTCCTGAAAGACACAGCTCCGTCTAGCCTGTCTTAAAAAGGAAAGAAGGGAGGGTGGTTAAATGTCTTTATATAAGTGAGGAGCGAGCCCAGTACAGCTTTGCGGTGTTCCTGGGCGGCCGTATACGCAGGCATAATTCCTCAAATGTACCGGGTTTTAGTAAACTGGACAGCTGACTGATTGCAGCCTGGCGGAGTCTTTTGAGCACTGGGGCAAAAGCAGAACACGCGTTCTTCCGCGTGGCATGGGTACAAAGATAAAGTTTTCCAAAAAAGATAAATAATAAAAACATGCCACTTCCATTTTATTTTTAATTTTTACAAGAGAGATCGAGCTTCCGGCTAATTATTCTTGACTTGTGTTCAAATGGCTTTACAGAACTCGATATGTGTTGCATAAAACTGGAACCAACACATTTCATGGTTCCTCGAGGGTGAATAGTGTTAAGTGTCCTTTTTCGCGTTCAGTCTTATCGCTTTCGCGTGCCTGAGTTGTGTGCTCATCGGGGCGTGCCTGCGCCGATGGCGGAACTAAATAATAGAGCGGCAAATCTAATTCGAAACACACTAACGAGCGGCCAGTGAAACGGAACCGGACCCGACCAGCGATGCGAGAGGAAGAGGTGACCTTTAATATCCCGAGGGGACGAGAGCTTTTAAAGTTCGGGAAATTTGATGCCGCACTTGCCCTTGAGAAGTCCTTCACTTCGTCCATTGCACAGCGTTTTGTGGTTCGACTTGGGGCAACTTCTTTGACGATGCACTGATCAAAGCTCTTCAGAAATGAGACAGGAAGTTTTCCCCGAATATAATAAATAGGTACTTTTTGTGGATCTTACGTTGCGGACTTGGGGCGTGCTCAATCTTCGCTCCAAGTGACGGCACGAGCTCCCGCTTACAACGGAAAGCTCTTACGTTTCATCTAATAAAAGTCCCAATCGAAACTGCAGCAGTCAGTGGCCGTTTCGTGCTTGGCGCTGAATTGCATCCTTATTTACTTTTGCCTCATGGTCAACGGTTGAATACTATCGTAAATAATCGATGTAATCATCTCTTGCGGTGCTAGGGGGGGTTTTACATATTACGCTGGATGATGCAATTCACGTTTTGCGTTTCGTTTTTACAATTACAGAAAATATTTACAATGCTGACTCGGAAAACACGTGTAAAGGCGAGTTTGGCAAAAATACATGACATCATCGTGTTCAGTACTACGCCACCTTGCTATTTTAAGGGCTACTCGTTGCACGCTCCTCGTACACTGGCTCATTTGCCGTCACTCATAAAAAATATCCTACCCGTTATTTCGTATTGTGTTTTAAGTTTTACCTTTACTAATGATCATTACGGTGTTTTCGCATGACGGAGTTTCTCCATGAGGAGGCGATTAAACGTCATCAAGTTTTGAGGTCACGTGCGCCTCGTCACGGATGTTGGCTAATCCCTTGAACCGTTGGGGAGTCGCGGAAAATCTGCGACCGGCCTTCAAAATATTCCTCCTCTCGTCGGAGCGATCGGTCCCTCTTGTTTTGGGGAATGATTAGAGTTCACAGCATTAAACTGTAGGGCGCCTTTGTTTTTTTTTCTTTTATTTTTTCCCCCGCTTTTTGTTCGACGAGCCCGCGAAGGTCGCAAACAAGTGAAATGAAAAGGGGTTCCTTCTCTCCCGACTTTCCACTCCGACGTGTAAATGCTCGCCCGTTTTTTCTGCAGCACCTCTTCTTCCTTCATGCGAACTTTCCTCCTGGCAGACCCAAGAGGTATAATCGGTCTTCTCCGGAGATAAAGATCTCCCTTCCCACTTCCAAACCCCCCGTTTCCCTGCAAAGCGCGATTTTCCTGCAAGAGGGCAGTGTATTGCAAAGAAACCAGAGGCCCTTCCCGCAGGGGGGAGTGTGGGGTTCTGCGATCCGCAGTCAATCTCCCCTGTAAAGCGTGCTTTGCCTGCCAAACTTGTAAGTGAAGTGGGGAAAACATCGCGCGCTCGATGTTGTTTTCGGGGAAAACTTCCCAAGGAGTGGGGCTGAATGTACTCTCGTAAATTTAACTCCAACTTAGTTGCTAACTGTAGAAAAAAGCATAATTCACCCAACGTTAAATAAACGCTTTTCCTCTGAAATTCTGTTTGTAGAAACTGGCAGGCCCCGCATTATGATTGCCATATAGCCTTGGTATTCGACGATTGCAAGCGGGGCGAGCGGCCGCCGCCATGTCTCTGCTCGTGCGGGCAAGCCCGTGCAATTGCGAGGTTGGCAAAACCATGTTCATGCGCACGCTGTGAATGCTTGCGCGCGTGTGGCTTTCAAGGCTGCTGGCGCTAGCATGAGGTTTGACCTCGCAGATCATTTGTACGCGTTCACAAGCAAACAAGTCCATAGGTGAAGCCACGCGCACGCGCCAGTAGTTTTTACAGCGTTGTATACTAGGTATCAAACGGAGTATATGTGTGACCTTAGTATAGGTAGAGCCTTAGTATACGTGTAGCCTTAGTATAGGTATAGCCTTAGTATTGTTGTATTCTGGCCAGTCATTTTTTGTTGCCTTACACTCTTAGGAAGCTTAAAGGGCCCCTGGAATGAATAAACAAGTTTTGTTTTTTTCAACAATCTAGTTGGGACACGCGCGTAAAAAAAAAAATTACGCAAAAAAAAGTTAGAGCAGTATTGACGGCGAGAAATTTATTTAAAACTCTGCGCGGCCGAGTCCTTGATGTCACGGAATGGTCATTCGCTCAACGAAATGGTCATTCGATCTTTCCGTCTCTACGTGAAGGCGAAGCCGATCCGCCTCTCCTCCACGCGCCCGAAATGTCGAGACGGAAAACAAGGACAGAGGAGGTGACAACCAACTAAATCGCGTTTCGCGCCGTCAATATTGCTCTAATTTTTTTGTTCGCGTAATTTTATTTTTTTAACACGCATGTCGCAACCAGGCTGTTTAAAAATGTATTTATTTCTTTTCAGGGACTTCTTTAAGGGATTGTCCGATGATATCCAATAAATCACTAAGCTTTTTTTTTTGTGCTGGTCACATAGAGACGGCCTAAATATACACTCTAAGAAATGCCTGTATGTCTACTTACCCACAAAACACTCAAAGAGCCAATCTCTGGGATCTAGGAAATCAGCTCAGCGAATGACAAGGCGGAAGATCCGTTTAGAGCTACAAATGAAGTCTGCGCTGTGGCATTACGCAATGCAAAGCGTCATGCTTGCATTGAGTAATGCCACAGCGCAGACTTAGTTTTGAAGTCTAAACAGATGTTCCGCCTCATCATTCGCCGAGTTGATTTTGTAGATCGTGGAGATCGGCTCTTCGAGCGCTTTGCGAATAAGTAGACGCGCAGACATTTCTTGGAGTACAGTCAGATGTGATATTTATTTTATTAAAAGACTCCCCAATACTTGTGAACCTAATTATGAGCATCAATACAAAACTTCAAGTCAAATTTCGGAAGTATGCATGCACACTAAAAAAAGCCCGTGCGTCCACTTTCCCTCACAACACTCGGAGAGCCAATCAGCGCAACTTACGGAGGCGGCTCAGCGAATGACGATGCCGAAACATATGTTTAGACCAAAAAACGTAGTCTGACTTGTGTCATTAAGCGATGCAAAACGTCATGCTTGTATGGCTCGCAAGCCACGTTTCGTCAAGCGAGCACCATAATGTATTATTAGAATAGGAGTCCTTTAGTCCTTTCATCGACGAAAATAGGAGTGACGTCAGACTGATCTTTGACGGTGTTGGTTTTATGAACTTCCGCTTCCGGACTTTCGAGCTTCCGCCGTTGTCACAGATATATCGTCGAGCCTCTACCCGTTACGAGCTTCGAAGGTTCGAAAGAACCAAAATGGCGGTTGCCATAGCAACAAATACCAGACAGCCCGTCGTCTTGCAAGGTTTTGGTCGTACGTATATTAGCATCGGTTTCCGTCCAGCTACCGCAATTATTGAAGGATGTGGAGCTACTTTCCGAGGTTCCAGTGACTTTAAAGTGGACTACGGGGAAGGCACACGAAAACGTGCTCCTTGACTCTGATCGCGAGGCCAGCCGTGTGTAAGAAAATGTATCGTTTGTCAAAAATGACAACTTCGATCAAATGTAAATCAAATGACAGTCAGATGTAAAAGTACGGGGCCTATATAGAACGCGTCTCCGGCTGGTGTGCTTAGCGTCCCAGTCTGCCCATGCATCAAAAGCTGTCCCGAAGTGGAAACGAATGACGTCACAAAAGACAGGAGTGTCATGCTGTCGGATGACGCGAACCTGGTAACTAATCGTACAAGTTCCGGCAAAAAAAAAAAATAAACACGAGCAAACCCGAATGTCGCTGTCGTCACGGCGTCTCTGGAGTACAGAGTTAGTTCGGGCCTTCCAACTCCTGGCTGACAAAGCTTTTGTAGAGTGTCAAGCTGGGGAGCGACCCGCAGCAGAACTCAGCAGAACAGGCGTCTGACACATCCACCACCACCGCTGTGAAACCGCCACACAACCGCGGCCGGTGACAGCGGGACAGTTTGATGACGTCGCGAGACAGAAATAGAGCGCCCGCTTTTTTTTTTTTTTTTGCACGTGGTAGACACACCAGCCGGAGACGCGTTCGGGCACCTAAAGTAAAAGCTCGCATCGCTGAAACACGTACTCAACCACATTTTGCGCATCAATTGCGGCCACTATGCGTAGAGCCCATTGGCGCTGTAAAGCACCCGGATTAATGCCCTTTCCTATTAAATAAAAACATATGACCTACAGGAACCATATCTTATATACTAAGTGAAATAACCGCATATGGTATATTTTATCAATGCTTCTCAAGTAAGAACACACGGGTCAATTTGATGTTTAGCCATGAATGTCTACCTATATAGGCCTGTCGGATGGCACATAAATTCCACCGTTCTCTTCCGTGTATCTTTAGAAATTTTCAAAAATAGCTATATTTTCATTGAAACATTGTGGCACACCGAAGAAAAGATTTTCTGTGTGTTTTATGCGTACCAAACGTCTATAAGGTATCTAAGGTTGTCTTGAACCGCTTCAAATTATAAATTCCACCGGTAACACTAATTAGTTTTAAGACCGTTCTTCGTATCGGTCTTTCATATCATTTTGGAATATGAGTCGTATATATATATATATATATATATATATATATATATATATATATATATATATATATATATATATATATATATATATATTGTTTTTCATTGGGGTTTTGCGACAGTTATTGCGAGGCTTTTTGGTCCTAACGCCATACTATATCCCGCTAATTCCCAAATGAACGCCCACCCACGGTAAAATTATAAAAGTACAACATTGAGCTGGGTGATTTCTTTTGGATGTTACGGTATTTGAATACGAGTCAATTAACCAATTCTGGCATTGAATGGCGCAGCAGTACCAAAGGCCAGAATTGAGCATGAGTGTGGAAGATGACCTTGCAGAAGTTGGAGTTGACGCTGCAGTAGGCGATGTCCCTCTCCTTCTGCGCCACCAGGCACGGGTGTTCCACGGAGAACTTCTCGATGGTGAAGTCCACGTCGCACGTGTGGCAGCGCACGCGGGTGCCGAAGTAGAAGTCCGTCTCCCCTGCACACAGACAGACCATCGAACGCATCGCCCGTTCCCCCATACTTCCCGGCAATCTACGTCGTGGGTAACGAGAATGACGACGTCCCTCAAATTCGTTGGCGTTCTATTGCTATCCAACCTCAGGCAGATGGGACGCGGTGCAATAATTGGAGTACTTTGCATAAATAGCGTTAGCTTTGCTTTTCCAGGCAATAACAACCACACACAAAAAACAAAAAAACTGATAAATGAGCAGCGTTTACCGCGCCTCAACAAGCAGCCACAACAAGCGGACACGTGATGTCGTCCCGGTTGTGTGCCGCCAATGTTCATCGTGATTCAAGCCAAGCGCTTGGTTTGGCAAAGTGCGGGGCACGTGATCGTTTCCAGACGTTATTAACGTTCGGCTATTTTCGTCATTGCAGCGATTGGTCGCGAACCATTACCCGAATGGTCATCGAGGAACTGATTGTCACCAGCCCAAGTTGAGAGTTCGCACAGTTCTCGTGTCCAGTCTGTGAGCAGCATTTGGCCAATGTCACCATATATGGCAATCTCGGTTACTACATCAACACCATGCTGCCTATACTTCGTCTCACCCTAGCATGGACTAACCGCGAAGGCTGTGCTAGCGCGAGCGGCCAACCTTGACTGCCTTGACTAGAGCGCTTGCTGCACGAGCGCTCGTGGAGCCGCCGTGGATTCATTCAAAGCGACTAGCTCGCGCTTTTAGCGCGCGCGGCTAACAATAGTCCATACTAAGGTGAGACGAAGTAACCACGTCATGACATTTTGCGAATTAGACTGAAAGCTTTAGCCCTTGAAATTCTACCCCTGCAAAAAAGCTTCTTGGACAGTGACGCTCCGTAAGAGCCCACTTGCGTCCCACTGGCACCAGCAAGCCTATGCAAAGTGAGAAATGTTTTAATCTAATATCCGTACACGGCCCTTTTAGGAACGCGTGCGCATTTTTTTTTTCTTCTATAACTTCAGAACCTTTAAGTGTAGTGGTATAATTATCGTGAAGCCGTCCCCAAATATAAACTTATTAATTTATAACCCCTATTTTGTTTTACAATTAAGTTGTTGTAATCACGATCGTTCGGCAAACGATGGCAATAGGGAGTTTTCGTAGATCGTTTTCGACGCCCCGCAACGTTCTCCGCAACCCGCTACGATACGCGGAACTCTAGAGTCAAGGCCATTGGCGCGCAGGCGCAGTAGCAACTTCTTCGTTGCGGAGGGCTTAGCGGAGGGGGACACGCGGTGTACGAAAACTCCCTATTATCGGGTATTCACAAGCTACTTTCATTACAAAAAAAAAGTTTAATTTTTGACGTTGACATAAAAATCTTATTCGAAAATTTAAAGATGATACAATGCCTAGTTTGACTGCCTGTTAACTTGGGATACATTTTAAATCAGAATGAAATAAAAATGTATCTTCGTCAACAGTCCCGGTTCGCTCTGCCCATTCCTATGTGATCGCATTAGAACAAACTAACCCACGGCGTGCAAATTTTTCATTCACTCCCGCAGTTCTGAATAACAATAATAAACGGGATATTCACATTATACCTCCAGTTCAAAACACATTCGACAAGCCCATGTTTACGCTTTTAAGTTCCGTCTAGGTAAGCTACCCTGCTGCCTCGCTTTTTTATTATGGAAGACTGATTTACTTGTTGAAAGAGTAACTATACTTAGTTTCGATGTCCAAGATACGGCCTCGGCATCATAATCGATCTGCTACTCACTTTGCCCTCGAGCGACGACGGCAGCCCAGAAAACAAGTAGGCCAACCAGGAGTTCCGCCCGTCCCATGTCCAGACGCAGAGTGGTGGCCGGTCGCCGATCGCATGCGGCTCCCTTTCGGACACGCCTTCTTGATTACCCCCACAATCAGCGGGCGACGTGCGGGACACTTGGGACACCAACAGCACAAAGAAAGCGCCGTGAAAAACACGCACAAAAAAACGGGATAAAGCTCCTGGAGGAGTTCCCCTGGGACTTACAAATCGGGATCTGCCTAGGTCGCCCAACGAGGGTGGAGCACTTGGACGTGACCGGTCTCGCCGACGAGGCAGTCAACCGAAGCGCCAGCGTGCCTGGAGTTTAAGAGTGTTTCCAACTGAGCGATAGGGTCACGTGGTTTGTGGACCTCTCCGTCCACTATTTTCCTTGCCGCGCGACAACGCACGCATGCGCAGGAGGCATCCGCCATTAAATTGCAAGAGCTCTCCGTGGTTTGATTTGCCCCCTTTGTTAAATCCAGGCTCTCTACCGAAGTGACCCGACAGTCACGCCCGACGCGACAGCCAATCACGTTCGAGCTCGAACTCGACAACTCGTTCGGTTGTGTGGAACCGGCCGAGGGTTACAACCCTCCGCGGACGGTAACGGGAATACGACGTCACGATCCCCCGTGAATTTGGGTGGGCAAGGGGTAAGCGCGAGCTATTCGTGCTCACCCGAGCGTGGGTGTGGGGTGGGAGACCGCCGGACGCCAGAATCCTTTCCGAGAAGTCGTCTGCTAATTCTTTAGAGAAGATTTGTTTGTCAGAAAATAATGCGAACGCTGAAACGAAAACCTGAACACCGCGGCCCAGATAATAGAGTACCAGTATGGTGTAATCGAAGTAGTGGAACGAGTGTTTTGAATGGGTAATTGTGGGCGGTCAGCGCTACCATGGAGTCCGGTTTGTCGTCGGAACCACGGATCGATCCGAGGCAGGGGTTTGACCTACTCCACTCCGTTTACCGCCAAGCTGACCCTGCAGTGGAAGCTACGTGATCGCTGGACCAGTCACAAGTCGACCTTTCGTCGACGTGATCACGCGTCCGCCCATTTTCACGCGCAGAGAGCGCAGTCAGGAGATGAAAGGAAGGCCAAAAAACAAGAGGAGGTTGTTCGGTGCACGGCACGGGAGCAGTCATGATGAACAGCGGCGGTTACAACAGCGGTGACACAAATGCACGGGTGCGCCAAAAATGATGGTTCGAATCAAATGGAACTGTCATAGGTATATATTTCAAGGAGCATTCTAATCAGATCGTTTAATGGGAAGCAGCAAAGGACTTTTAGGTCACGGCACCACGTACAGGCGCCTGCAGAGAACGGCATTTGCTGGATTTTTTTTTTTTTTTTAACACAGTTACAGGAATTGTGTGATGGCGTATCTGTCGCTCTGTTAGTATGGGTGGCAGACCTCCATCAGAAAGTGCTGTGCCAGAGGAGGAAACTACGTACATCTATTACGTTAATTATGAACGAATCGTGTGTGGGGAGAGTTACCATAAACGACTCAGCTGCAAGTAAGAGAGCATATTTTCTTATATTATAGTAATCGCTGTAACATAACTTGATCAGAAGCGGATTTATGGCTAAGGGTTGGGGAGGAAAGCGGGCAGTGGTGATGACTTTTTTTTTTTTTTTCAATTGAGCGAGCTAGTAATTTTAAAGCATCTAAAAGGGAAACCATTAATCGTGTTTTAACGTTTCTTATAGCATAAAAATGCTCACCAAAATCATATTAGTTTATTGCTCTATTTTACAAAGCCGGGCACTTGCTGCATCGGAGGCTCAAAGATTTCAATCAAACAATCAATTTTATATACATCATCATCAAATAGTGATGTGGGCTACAGAGGCAAAAAGTCAAAACAGTTTTGACTTGACAAGGCCTCTGCAGCCTTACAATTGGGGCATACGGTAACAAACAACAGCAGCCCAGGGAAAACAAGCAGACAGCGACATGGAAAAAAAGAAGAAGAAAAAAAAAAGGAAACACTTACATACTCTATTTGCTGCCAGAGGAAGGATTTGACCTCATACACAAAGAACGAAGAACGACAGCATCTAGTGACTGGATGTATACAGGAAACAAAAATATATAAAACGGATGTATTTACAGCTCACAAAGACAATTTATTTTTTATTTGTGAAAACAAAGCTCTCGAATTTTATTCAGATGTAGCTTTTCAACGTTTGACAAATTTTGTTTTTCAACTTTATTTAAGACAAGCGGAAGATTATAGCTTAACAATTTATTGTTTATTATTTAACAATAATTTAACAATTATAGCTTAACAAGATAGTAACTTAAAAATTTGACCTATAAGCAGTAAAAAAAAATTATAGAAAGAGAAAGACATACCTACGTGTGCATGGTTCTATATTTTTTATCTAAACAGTGACTATACCCATTTAAGCAACACAGGCAATTGAGCCACGCGGCATGACAGAGTTTCAGCAGTCTCGATCAAACATGAATACATCAATTTAGACAAAAAAAAATAATAACACCACAAAGACCGGAGAAGAAAGGATTTGTTAGCAAAAAAAACCTAAGAAAGTCGAATAATATGGAGACTTTCTGATTCCTTGACGAACGTGATCAAAATGCCTCGTTGTTTTAATTGTTATTTTATGGACTCACTCTCGAAAACGAACAGTTGTTGAGAATGGTGTGACGCGACGGGATTTCAAACATTTAGTTGGAGTAATTAAGCTTTAGTAGGCAAGCAGTGGGTGGGATTCTTTGGTGACTTTACTCTTAATGATTTAGTGCTTTACAGGATACAGCAAAACAAAATTAACTTTTCGATTCTTTATGGCTTCCTAGTGGATGCGTGAAACCAATAGAAAAAAATGCGAGCTCAAATGTTCTTCAGCACAGTGCCTGGGCAAATAGCATGCAGCAACATTAAAATTATTTATTAAACAGATTCACGTTCATCTAAAGAGATGGAGAGGATAACCCTCTACGATTGGGGAGGACAGTATACAGACATAATTATTCACGCTAGTTATCAAATGAAGGGTTCTTCCACAGCACGAACATCGCCTTTCGTAGTCGTGCTCCCTGCGCGTAGCGGTCTACCACCTTCTTTCGGTCGACGTTGACATCTCGATGGACGTTGAGGAGGGCAAGACCGTTATGTCGCATTCCGCCGCACCACGTTCTAATCCAAGTCCTAATCCGACGAAGGGTGGAGAAGGACCACTCAGCCGTCGCAACACTAACTGGCAGTGTGGCGAGAACGCGCACCAAAGTCCTGATGTAGGGATACAGCTCTGGCTCCGACTTTTGAAAATGTTCCACAGCCATCGACGGAAAAGGCCCCTTCTCTTGTTCTCGTCTTCATTTCGCCACCCACCGTGAAACTTCGGCTCTGAGGATGGTTTGCAATGCTACATCTCCCATTCTGAGGAGTACGCCATATTTCGCTGCCAGAATACTAAGCTTTGCTTGAACTTCCTTGTCATTCACGTGGCCAGGCAAAAGTGTGTTGAGGCAGTACACCTCAACCACCTCTTCCGGCAAACGCTGCTTGATATCTTCCACGACGGATTCCACAAGAGGAATAGAGACATGTGCGCGGAAGTATGACTCGGCTCTCTGTGGAGGGAATTTCGCGCAGCTCATCTGTCGTTGCACTACGAGGCACATCTAGATAGGGCTCTCATGTTCTCGGCAATGTGTTCTGCATGTGTGAAAATTTCATTGAAAGTCTTCTCGACGTTCAACGGGTCCCGCTTTTCGCTCAAGACGACGACGATTGTGTCTTTCACGACGTCCGAGGCACTCTTTATTTCGAGATCCGGCTTTTGAAGCAGCCGACTCAGGGAACGCGTGACTGAGAGAGTGTCGTAGAGAGCTAGAGTTGAGATGACGAATTCAGAATCCAGGGCTGAGGTAAGCAGGAATCTCGCCTTAGAAGCCGAGCTTTGTTCTCGCCACTGGGAAACCGTTTCTAACGTCTTTGCGATGATTACCAGGCTCTCTCTGAACTGCAAAACAGCGTTGCGACGTTCGACCCAGCGTGTGTTGAGGCGAACGCCAAGCTGCCATCTTACGTTCTCAACATCGAAGAAGCAGCAATTTCCCTTCGCCAGCGCAGTTCTCGTTTGGTAAACCTGTCCACTTATTTCTCTCCTTTTTTTTTTTCTATTGAAATACCAAGGACGTGGCCAAGGAAAAACAGTTGGCCGAATCCACTGTCGTGCTTCGACAACACAAATCTAGTTTGTTGACACCCTTGGTATCCCTTGGGCGCCGCCGGCCAGAGTTTGCCCTGCCCAGTGGTGGCCGTTTCGGGGGGGGGGGGGGGGGGGGGGGGGGGGGGGGCAAAACACATGCTGTGCCCCCCTCACTCTGAGAACTGGGAGCAAGTGCCCCCCTTGCCCCCCCCCCCGGTTGGTACGCCCATGTCTAGGCTGATTTTGGAGTAACCATAACTATTCTAAGAACGCGAACCACTTCACAACGGCAGCCACGAGCGAGAGTTCGATGTTCGGTACAGCCCGCCGGTACAGCCCAAAGATGGAGAATGGCAACCTCCCGGTTTGTCGTCTGCTTGCGGAGTCGGGCGCGTGCCCTCTCTCTCGTTTTACCCCGCCGAACCCGCTGAATTTCCCGGATGTATGAAAAGGGCGCTGCTGTCGAACAAAATGGTGCCGCCCAGAGAGCGCTAAATGGAATGAGAAATTTAGTTCCGGGCTTACGCCAGAAACAAAGACACGAGGCAAAACAGGGTACGCCAACAAAACGACCTCTTTGTTGCCGTGCTAACGCGCCGACACTGCGGCCATGTCGGTAACCGGCACTAGTCCCAGGGATTATAAGGTTTCCGAAGGTTGATTGAACAATCTTCAAAAAACCCATCAATTTCTTTCGAATCTTCCCGAATATTGTCACGGGTGGTGACCAAAAAGAACAGGAAATAAACAGGAAGAAATAAACGTTTAATGTGGCGAACTTGTGCCAAAATTAAAAGGGTACAAAAGATAATAAGAGAGCGTCGCGGGCGTCGAAGTCGGCGTAGCAGCACAGTCGAACGCTGGGGTGAAACTGACTCGACAAGGTCGCGAGCGGCGTCTTATCTAGAGTAGGTCACTATCTCGAAGATTCGGCGGAAAAGGTTCGGGCGTAGCGCGCTCGGGGCGAGAATGAACACGCACTTTCTAGAACAACATAAGCGGGGATAAACGATAGAAGTTATGTCCGGAGCAAGAATAAATGAGAAAGTTCTAGAAGTCCGTGACCCCTGCGCGCGGCAATATGATGTAGTATACGTAGGGTTGTTCGCTTTCG